TCAACAATGAGGCTGCAGTTTCAGTCAAAGGCACCTGCTGCATTTTGGATTGGAGTGGAGAAACATTACCCACTGCTGGCTAACAGAGCCCTGGTCATAGTCTACTTCTTCATTTAGCCACATCCTACTTATGTGTGATATGCCTTCCTGCTGTGGCACCAATCAAGACAAAATACAGATCAAAGCTGGACATTGAAAATTAACTCAGAGTGGCAGCGTCACAACAAGAACCCAGGTTTGAGAAGATCTGCAGCAACAAGCAGGTTCACACCAGTCACTGAAAAGAAGTGACAATTAAATGTGTCATTTTTGCTCAACAAACCTTTATTTATTTTTTCCCCTATCAGGGAGATGTTTGTGTTTTTAATCCCATTTTGCATGGAGAGGTGTTTTTTGAAAAACATTTATTAAATAAACTGATGTGCTTAAAAATATTAGACGGTAAAAGTATTTTGTTATTTAAGAGGTTGTAGTTCATATTGCAGCCTGTAATTTATTGGAGTTTACCTTTATTAGTGCAATTGTTCAAAATAAAGTTGAGGTGTGAAATAAACTGCGATGGAGTTTGAAAACTAAATATGTGGGTGTGTCTGGTTGGAGACTGTGTGTGCGCCGGGCGGGGGGATTTTCTTATAAATCAAAGGGGGTGCAGCTGAAAAAGTTTGGGAACCACTGGTTTAATCCATTAGCGAGCTAAGCTACAAACACAAATGAAAGATATGCAAGTTCTTAAAGACTAAGTTTGTTAGCTTCATTAAAACTGTAACTAAAATGATACAAACATCATCAAAGTTGAACAAAATATACAAACCTAAATGGCAGAGTCCAACTTTGGAGTTGAAATCATCATCCAGGATTTGGTTTTGTTGCTCCTTTTCCTTTAAATAAGAATGTTTCTCTTCATAATCTGCAGCTGATTTTTCCAGAAGCCTTGATATTTCTGATCCTCCACAATCTTCTCCACCAGTTGCTGCTTTCATCTGGTCAGCTGAGCTGCTGGTTGGAAGATCTCCATCTTCCCCTTGGTGCTGATGAAGCTCAGAGAACAGAGGTTTCTCTTCATCATCACACTTCAGATGAACTGCAGTGAAGGAGAACCCGGTGTCATCAGTCTCCTCCTTCACACTGAGCTGCTCTACATCCAGATTGATCCTCAGTTCCTCCTCTTCCTCCTTTATGAGGGTCTCTGGGTCCTTCTGGTCCACACCACAACTCCATTCTTCAGGAGCTTCTTCTTTAATCATCTCTGTCTGATGAACATCTGCAGGGAACAATGAAACACATAAACAATAAGGACAGTTATAACTTTATATCCACACAAACATCACTGGTGTTATCACTGAGTTCACTGATTAGATAAAAACAACATCTAATGCTGGACGTCAGAAAATGTCTTGAAACTAAATCCATAAATTTTACCTACATTGTATAAAAATACATTTTAACCATTTTATCTCACTGTCTGACATTAAATCAAACTAAACTTTACCAGTTTTAGTTCAGTTAGAATTTCCAAATTTTGTTTTATTTGCAAACACAGAGACAAGACGTTCATTTTAGGAGACCTCTCCTGTGGTGTGATAAAACTAAAATTGATCTGTTTGGTCGTCGTGACCATCTTTACATTTGGAAGATAAGTTGAGGAGCTTGAGAGTCTGAAAACATCATCCCACCTGTGAAGCACGAGGATGGCAGTATCATGTTTTACTACAAGACTGGTGCACTTCTCACTTCACAAAACAGATGGTATCACAAGAAAAGACCATTATGAGGAAATACAGAAGCAACAAATCAAGACATCAGCCAGAAAGTTAAACCTAGGGAGCAAATGGGTCTTTTAAATAAACATTAACCCTAAGCATTCTGCAAAATTAGCTTATGGAAGGAAATCCAAACTGTTTGATCTAATCATAGTTTAGAGGCAATGTTACCAAATACAAAGAAAAAGGATGGTTACTTGTGATTTTGAATAATTAGCTAATTATCAAAAACAATGTATCTCATTTTTCTCATTTGGGCATTTAAAAACTAGAAATAGTTTTGAGAATCCTAACTGACATATAGCAGGAAAAGTTCAGTCAGATTTAATGTCAGTGAAACAAAAATGGCAACGGGTCTTTTTTTAAAGTGCATTTAAACATGTTGTTTTAGTGTTTGTTACATCCCCACTAACATTCAGCTCAATGACTCTAAAGTAAATTGCACCTTGATCACGAGCTTTCTGGCTCCACCAACAAGGTTCTGGCTGGATTTTAGAGATAAAGTGGCGAAAGTGCGACACTGGATTCATAAGATCCTCTAAAGATGCTGTCACTTAGCTACAAAAACTGCAGCTAACATCATCACACTAAACAAGATGAATGTATTTATACAAACCTAATCTGTGCAGACTCTGACGTTCAAAATAGCATCGAGGATTTTGTTTTGTTGCATTTTTTCTTTTAAACGACACTGTTCCTCTTCATAATCTGGGCCTGTTTTTTCCAGAAACTTCAACATTTCTTAAACTGCTGCTTCCGGAGTCGTTGTTTAGCCTGTCGTCTCCACATCTTTTAGCTTTTGTTGATCTAAGTTTTCTTTAACAGTTACTGAGCCGAAATCAAGAAGGTGGATTCACTGTAAACGTTACAGAAACTTTATAAATCGCTGAAAAGTAGAGATGGGCTGTTTGAGGCTAAAGCTAAGGTGCAAATAAAAAAAACAACAGTGATGCAGAAGTGCTGAGTCGGAGCTTGATTCGTTTGGTCTGAGTCACGTGATCAGTGATATCTGAAGCTCTTTAAAGGCAACACCTGGTCAACAAGAAACACCTGTCAGCCACATGTTCAATAGTTTTGCACACTTGAAGAATGGGTGAGTTCAAACAAAGGGTGGTATGTCCTGAGTTGTTTAACACGTCTACGTGTAAATATCCGGAAATAAAAGCTGACATTCTGAACTCGGGTATCATGCTCATATTTTGATCTTAAACCCAAATGTGAACAACAAAAACAAAGGAATCTGTCTTGCTGTTCCAATACTTTTGGAGAGGACTGTGGTGCATAGAGTTCTCACTCATGATGCTGACATTATCTTTTAAATATCATATAATAAGAATAATTATGAAATACAAGTAACCATCCATCCATTATCTTTACCCCCTTCTTTCATTTTTGGGTCACAGTGGTCGTCGGTGCCCATGTCCAGCAATCACTGTGCGAGGGGCGGGGTACACCCCGGACAGGTCTCCAGTACATCACAGGGACACATAGAGACAAATGAGACAAACAACCATTCACTCTCTCACTCTGTAGAAGAGGCCCCAGATGTGTAAAATGATGTTTTATAGTTGGCAGCCATGATGGGAACAGCCTAAAAAAATTATGAGGCCTAAGGCTTTTACTTTCATAAAATAAAAAAAAGAAACATTAAATGTTCATATATTGAAAGAGCACCAACATTTGCTGTTGTCTCGTTGCAACCCTGTCATTAATTAATTATTTAGTAAATTAAGATACAAACCCAAAGAATAAACTTTACAAACATTGATGATGACCCAAAGATACAAACCTGATCCGTAGAGTTGAACACAATCTTCTCCACCAGTTGCTGCTTTCATCTGGTCAGCGGAGCTGCTGGTTGGAAGATCTCCATCTTCCACTTGATGCTGATGAAGCTGAGAGGACGGAGGTTTCTCTTCATCATCCTCACTCTTCAAAGGAACTGCAGTGAAGGAGAACCTGGTGTCATCAGTCTCCTCTTTCACACTGAGCTGCTCTACATCCAGACTGATCCTCAGTTCCTCCTCTTCCTCCTTTATGTTGAGGGTCTCTGGGTCCTTCTGGTCCACACCAGAACTCAATACTTCAGGAGCTTCTTCTTTAATCATCTCTGTCTGCTGAACATCTGCAGAGAACAATGAAACACATGAACAATAAGGACAGTTATAACTTTATATTCACACAAACATCACTGGTGTTATCACTGAGTTCACTGATCAGATAAAAACAACATCTAATGCTGGACGTCAGAAAATGTCTTGAAACTAAATCCATACATTTTACCTACATTGTATAAAAATACATTTTAACCATTTTATCTCACTGTCTGACATTAAATCAAACTAAACTTTTCCAGATTTAGTTCAGTTAGAATTTCCAAATTTTTTTTTATTTGCGAACACACACAGAGACAAGACGTTCATTTTAGGAGACCTCTCCTGTGGTGTGATAAAACAAAAATTGTTCTGTTTGGTCATCGTGACCATCTTTACATTTGGAAGATAAGTTGAGGAGCTTGAGAGTCTGAAAACATCATCCCTCCTGTGAAGCACGAGGATGGCAGTATCATGTTTTACTACAAGACTGGTGCACTTCTCACTTCACAAAACAGATGGTATCACAAGAAAAGACCATTATGAGGAAATACAGAAGCAACAAATCAAGACATCAGCCAGAAAGTTAAACCTAGAGATCAAATGGGTCTTTTAAATAAACATTAACCCTAAGCATTCTGTAAAATTAGCTTATGGAAGGAAATCCAAACTGTTTGATCTAATCATAGTTTAGAGGCAATGTTACCAAATACAAAGAAAATGGAACTTGTGATTTTAAATAATTAACTAATTATCTAAAACAATGTCTCTCATTTTTCACATTTGGGCATTTAAAAACTATAAATAGTTTTGAGAATCCTAACTGACCTATAGCAGGAAAAGTTTAGTCAGATTTAATGTCAGTGAAACAAAAATGGCAACGAGTCTTTTTTTTCAAAGTGCATTTAAACAGGTTGTTTTAGTGTTTGTTACATCCCAACTAACATTCAGCTCAATGACTCTAAAGTAAATTGCACCTTGATCACGAGATTTCTGGATCCACCAACAAGGTTCTGGCTGGATTTTAGAGATAAAGTGGCGAAAGTGCGACACTCGATCCACACGGTCTTCTGAAGATGCTAAGTCACTTAGCTACAAAAACTGCGGCTAACATCACACTAAACAAGATGAATGTATTTATACAAACCTAATCTGTGCAGACGAACTCTGACGTTCAAAATAGCATCGAGGATTTTGTTTTGTTGCATTATTTCTTTTAAACGACACTGTTCCTCTTCATGATCTGGGCCCGTTTTGTCCAGAAACTCCGACAGTTGTGGTGCTGCTGCTTCCGGTAACGGAGTCGTTGTTTAACCTGATGTCTCCACATGTTAACTTTTATTAATCTAAGTTTTCTTTAACAGTTACTGAGCCGAACTCAAGAAGGTGGACTCACTGTAAACGTTACAGAAACTTTATAAATCGCTGAAAAGTAGAGACGGGCTGTTTGAAGCTAAAGCTAAGGCGCATATAAAAAAACAAAAGCGATGCATAAGCTCTGAATCGGAGCTTGATTGTTTGGTCTGAGTCACGTGATCAGTGACGTCTGAAGCTCCGATCACTTAAGTTGTGAAATTTAAAGGTGTGTTTTGATTTCGAATTTAAATATGATATATATTTATTTACATTACTATAATTAAATATAATCAAGGATAACGAACCAGCTAGTGACATACAGCGTGATATACGGATCAGCCTTATGGGTTTTCCTAAACATTACCATACCATTATATTTATAGAGCACTTAAAACAGCAACAAGGCCAACCAAAGTGCTGTACAGACAGAACAACAGGTAACACACAAAGCAAAATACAAAATGAAGTAAATCAGAATTATAGACATAAAAACGATGCAACATTAGACGTTGAATGGATGTACATGATCTGCACAGTAACTCAATATAGACATTGAGTCCGTCGGACAAAAACCAATTCTGGACGTCAGGACAACATGCAAACAAGGTCCATTATTTGGACGTCTAAGCATGACCTCACATCAATATAGAATGCAACATTTGAAGGTCAGACTTGTCCAAGACATGTGCACAGGTGTGCCTTAAGAGAATATAATTGTTCTGTTATGTAGTTTACATGCAGATCTGGCCGCTGCAGCCTGGACACTTTACAGTCAGAGGGGTTTGTGAAAAATCACCAGAAAAAAATTGTTAAACGGTGTCAGTGGAGAACAGGTAATCCAGACACGTGTTACTCTGAGCATTTAGAGGGTGGGATACAGTTTATTGTTTTTCAAAATTGAAACGGAGTTTGGAAAACATGTAAAAAGCCGGGGACCGACCCAATCAGCTGATCACAAGTTATAAACAGGAAGTAGCTACCACATGTTCATCTCTACGAAAGTAACTGCAGGTAAATCCTCCATTTTCTGTCATAATTACGTTGTATGCTTAATGGTTAAATAAAAGGTTAATGCTTAATTCAGGTTATTTTTATTTGTCATATGCAAGTTAACACAAGGTTAACAGTACAATAAAATATTCAGGATGAGAACTTATTTGACTCACTAAAACAAATAACAAACAAACAAGGAATACTAAAGCATTCAATAAGGTACAACATAACGTACCAAAAAGTGAAAAAGTAAATACAATATTTACATGGTCCTAAAGAAAAAATAGTAAACAACAACATGGTAGAATATAACAGTGCAAGTAGGATGAATTTGTATGAATAAGTATTTCAAGGTAGTAATATAACATTTAGTTTAACATTTGACTCAAGTGCGCCCCCTAGATTATTCAAACTGTTATATCTCAGTATTACATCATCTGATCTTAACCAGATTTTTTGTGCGTCATCAGTGAGCACTTCTAGACACATTGGTGTTGTTGTTTAACTTTTGACTCCAGTGCGCCCCTAGATTATTCCAACAGTTATATCTCAATGACACATCAGCCGATATGCGCCAGATTTATTGTGCATCATCAGTGAGCAATTCTATATACATTGGTGTTGTTCTTTAACATTTGACTCAAATGCGCCCCCTAGATTATTCCAAGTCATATCTCAATGATACATCATCCGATCTGCACCAGATTTTCGGTGCGTCATCAGTGAGCACTTGTATACACATTGGTAATGTTCTTTAACATTTTAATCCAGTGCGCCTCTAGATAATTCCAACGGTTATATCACAGTAATACATCATCTGATCTGAACCAGATTTTTTTGTGCGTCATCAGTGAGCACTTGTAGACACATTGGTATTGTGAATTCATGACATCACTTAAGCCCCACCCACTCAGAGAAGAAACTGTTGATTATTGGATGACTCTTCCATCTTTGCACTGTGTAAGATATAAGACTGAAACTGTGTTCGCTAACTGTTGATTAACACATAACATGTTGAAAAGCATAAAGGAATTGCTCGTCAAACATCGCCACAAAACAAGAAGTCACAATAACTCCTGTCTGGAAGGTCGGATTTAGCCTATACTTGTAAGACCTGCAGCTGGACAAGTACTGACATGGACGGAAGGCAATGTCAAAGATTCAGGAAATGCACCCCGTGGTGAATGTGTGCGGCATTGGCACGAGAGTGATCGCGATGACGACTGGGTGGAGTAGCTGGAGATCCCGCGGTGGCCGTATGGCCAGAGCGGCACTTTGCTGCGAGGGCCTTCAATGCTGCTTGCAGCTTTAATTCTTTTTAAAAATCTTAAAAATAGGTCCAGTCACTCCTCAGAGTTAGAGTTATTACAAATGACAGATCGAGTTGTTGTGAAAGTTTCTCAAACAACCAGTGACTCCATCCCCATACCAATCAGTGACCGGCAGTGTTCAGACGTCACGTTTTGAGACCAGCACAGTACAGTTGGAACCCCATAGAAATGGATCCTGAAAAAAGGGTCAGTTCCACGAATAATTGCTAGTGGAAAAGCCTCGGAACCATGCTGAGTTGAACCATGCTGTAATGTTACTAATAGATAAGGGCCAATGATTACTCTACTGAATGGCCTAACACATAATGCACACATAAACTAGGCTAAGGAGAACAAACTAATCACTAAAAAAACAATGCTTAACAGCTAACCAAAATGATTAATGATGAACATAAATTTTACCCATAATCCCTCCCTGAGGCAATGTGAACAAAAGTCAACCAAAATGAATGGACTGCACTCGAAAGGACTGTACTTATATGGCACCTTTCTATCATATGAAGATACTCAAAGGGATTTATACTACAATCTGTGCCCTCATTTACCCATTCATACAGTACTCTATTATATCTACACAAAGATTAATCAGTGCTTTATCACATTCATACACTGATGGAACACACATCGGAGGCAATGAGGGGTTCAGTGTCTTGCCCTGGGAAACTTTGGCATGTGACTGCTGGTGGAATTGAACCCGCACTTCTTACATTGGTGGACGATTGCTCTAACCACTCAGCCACCGAAAATGAACCAAAGAATGCCACAATATGTAGAAGGTAACATACACAAATATGTACAGTAAAAACAATTTAACAGTGCCTATAACATCTTCTTCTTTCGGCTTTTCCTTCGTCAATTCAATTCAATTCAATAAAAAAATACTTTATTAATCCCAAAGGGAAATTATTTGTTGCTGTAACTCGTTTTCCTCATTTCATTAAGAGATGTTATAGATGCTGATGGCTGTAGACAGGAAGGATCTCTTGTAAAGGTCCATCCCACAGTGGATCCCAAGAAACCAGCCGCAGACACCGTCCGATCCGCCCAACCAGACTCGGCCGGCCTCTTGGTTTCAGGGGTCGCCACAGCGAGTCATCCTCCTCCACCTCACTCTGTCCTCTGCATTCACTGTCCTCACTCCAACTACCTTCATGTCCTCTCTAACTGCATCCATATATCTCCTCTTTGGCCTTCCTCTTTGTCTTTTTCCTGGCAGCTGCATTTCTAACATCATTTTACCAATATACCCATGGTCTCTCCTCTTGACATGTCCAAACCTTCTCAGTCTGGCCTCCCTAACTTTATCTCCCAGTTGTTCAACCTGGGCTGTACCTCTGATGACCTCATTCCTAATCTTATCCAGCCTTGTCACTGCTAAGGAGAACCTTAACATCTTCATTTCTGCCACTTCCAGTTCTTGCTCCTTTTTGTCAATGCCACTGTCTTTAGACCATACAATATAGCTGGTCTTACCACTGTCTTGTAAACTTTTCCATTGACCTTTGCTGACACCCTTTTGTCACAAATCACTCCTGAAACTTTCCTCCATCCACTCCATCCTGCCTGGACAGTGCCTATAACATGGCATGATTAAAAAAAAAAATCTCATTAGCCTACCAGGAAGTCATTGATCACTGTCTTTGTATTCCTTCCTGCGCAAGCTGTCCTGCTTCATGGAGTACAAGTTGCTCTGTGAGCATGTGAATCCTGCCTCACATACTCTGTGCATGCAGAGAATCTCGGGATGGGGCAGATCTGATTCGGTATCAAGTTCCAATACCAGCATAATTTACGTATCGGATTTTTTTCGATCCAACGTGCAGAGATTTCCGATCCATGTTGCATGTCTGTGCCTGCTGAAATGTCTCCACATGTGATTCCCTGCCAGCTGCTCTGCAAATTGGCTTCAAACTATGGAATGAATTATGGAATGAATTTCCTGAACGGAGTCGTGTCTCATGAAACCCAGAGTAATTAGACCCGCCTCACATTCAGGAAATCCATTTCATTGTTTGCAGCCAGCTTAAATGTGAGTAAATATGTGAGGACTGAGCAGCACTGTAGCTAATGGCTAACCGACTTTTCATGGCAACATGTCTGCTGTGTGTAAACATTTTACACTAGAAACACTGCAAGACAGCAATGTACAATATCTGCAGAGCCACTGTACCGAGAGGAGGAAGTTATGTTGCAACCTACAATACAACAAACTTAATCAAACATTTGAAAAAGCACCACATTAAAAAGCATGAGGATTGTTTAGCCAGCCACCGTGGTAAAGCTAGTTTTATGTTGGACATTCAAGCTCCGTGGTTTCAGCGGTGTGTGCCTCTCATTCGATCCAAAGCAGACAATCTGATTTCAGTCAACCGAGCTCAGTCTGCCATGCTCAGTCTGCCCGTCTTGGAGGAGGGGCAGACTGAGCGCGGATGACCGAACTCAGACTGCCTGCTTCAGATCGAATGAGGGGAACACACCGCTGAAGCCACAGAGCTCGAATGTCCAACGTAAAACTAACTTTATAGTCA